AAAAAAAAAAAAAAAAAAAAAAAGGAATAAAGTATCTCTAAAAAGTTTGTTGATTTGGCAAGACACCATAGGCTACAGGTCTATTCCTGATATTTATTTGGAGGGGTGGATATAAAACATTTAAACACAGACAGCGAATCTGGATTCAGGAATCTGACACAGTGCAACAGTGCTACCCGAAGATTCGCTACCCCTAACTCTGTGTAGCTGCCGGTAATCGCACACTCGAGATACAGAAGCAATGCGTTTCTTAAAACTGTCCACCTCAAATTAGCATATGCCTTAAAGCCTCCAAGAAAATAACTCTCAATTTTAAAAAAGAAGAGAGAGCAACCAGGTAAAAAGGAAATTAATTCCGTCTACTGGGATTTCAAGCTCCGGCTTCAGGTCCACAGATGCATGGCGGCGTCCGGGCAGCGGGCCGAATCCCCCACGGACCCCGACCTCAAAGCGCACCCACAGGGCGGCGGGCTGGGGGAGCGCCGAGGAGCCTGGCCTGGGGCCTCCGTGCGGCCGGCTCGCCCAGCGCCGCGGTCACTTTCCCCTCAGGGGTCTGGAACGCTGTGGGCCTTAGGGCGACCGCGAGTAGAGGATGCAAGCTCAACTCACCACGGCGCATCAGCTCGCTCCATGGAGGCAGAACCTGACCCTGGAATCGGAACAGTTTGCGCCGCCGCTCCCACGGTGGGGTGGGAAGGGAATCCCGCCACCCTGCCGCCCATTGGCTGCTTCCGACACTGTGTCCCGCCACTTCCGGATAAGGCTACGAACGCTTCCCATCTCTCCTTCTCGTTGATTGGTTGTGTCAAAGGTCGAGTCCATGACGTCAAATTAGCAGGGGCCAATTAGAGCACAGGAACTGAGCTTTCCCGGACGCCAGCCTCCAGGTCGAAAAGGAGGTGGACGCGTCCTGTCGTGGACTTGGACGGTTTCTGAGCGTTCGTGTCTCTCACCCGCCACCTTCCCTCCCTTGGGTTCCACAATGCCGATGTACCAGGTAAAGCCCTATCACGAGGGCAGTGGATCTCTCCGTGTAGAGCTTCCCACCTGCATGTACCGGCTCCCCAACGTGCACGGTAGGATCGGCAGCCCCGCGCCAGCAGCGAGCCACGTGCAGGTAGGAGCGCGCAGCCCTTTCCCCGGCCCCGCATCAGCCCAGAGCCAGGCGCCAAGGCTCTAGTCCCACCGCCCGCCCGTCCAGTGCTCAGGCGCCCTGGCTCCACCGCGGCCCCGCCCCGCTGCCCTCTTGTTCAGTGCGCACGCGCTGCCGCCCTGGCCCTCAGTTGGAGGACTAGGGGCAGGGGTCCTTCCAGGCCCGGACCTTGGGACCCGAACTGTCGCGAACAAACCGTGGGGACCAGACCCGATCGCCTACCCCACTCCAGCCTCACGCGCCCGCCGGCCTCCGAACGACCGTAAACTCAACTATTAAAATAGCTATCCATCTGGTATCTTTTTTTCGCTTATGACTACTTAAACTTTTATATGACGAAATTTTACCCACAGAAAAGCGAATAGCACGTAAATACTCGCTTTGAGGAATTATAAAGCGAATCTCAGTGTCACCACCACTCAAGTTAACACGTTGTCAGCGTCCCACTTAAAACTACCCCCAAAGTTCCCAACTTCCGTGGTCATTACGTCCTGCTTTTCTCTTATTTTGCCACCTGAGTATGCATCCCTAAACCATGTAGTCTTGGTGTAAGTGGAAGCATGCAGCGTGTGCCCTGCAATGTCTGGCTGCCTCTTCTAGATATGATTTGAAGAATCCCTTTGCTGCCATGAGAAAGCAAAGCGTTCGTCCTCTGCGGCCTGCTGCTCCTTGGCTTGACTGTGCCCCCACGGCTTTATCCATCCTGCTGCTCATGGACGTCGGCTGGTTTTGCATTTTAGGCTGTTATGAATTATTCTGCAGAATATTTTTTTACACGAGCAGGCATAGGGGATATACTAAGGGATGGGATCGCTGGCTCAGTGGGCTGGTCTGTCTTCAACTGGATTAGATTGCTTTCCAAAGCAGTCATCCCGGTTTATGCTCTCACCTGCAGTGTATACGAATTTCTGATGTTGGCACCCTCCCCAAAGCTGGTGGGTGTACAGTGGCATCCTAATGTAATTTAGTTCATATCTCCGAGACCGCTAAATCGGTCGAGCCCCTTTTTATGTTTATTGGGCATTTTGATTTCACCTCTTTTGTAAAGTACCTGCTCAACTTTGACTTTATTAATTGCAAATACACATTTTAATTTTCCAACTGGAGAGACTTTCTGTCCGTTCTGACTCAAGATGAGTGAATAGATAACGTTCGTGGCTTGTTTTCCCTGTCATCCTTTGTCTTAAGACTTTTCTGCCTCGATTGGAAGGTCAGTGGTTAGTTTAGTTTGAAACCAAATAACACAACTGTTGTCTCACTGTAGAGCTAAGGCAAAAACACAGGCATGGTCCAGTATCTCTTCACCTGGAGATTCCCATGCAGGCATGGCCTGGTGCCCCTCAACTGGACAGCCCCATAGAATCAAAAAGAAAACCCCAGAGTGGGGAGCATAACATCTCTTTTGAGACCAAGTCCCCCCTTTTTTTTTTAATTTAAGTCTGCTGCCTAACTACTTTCTTTGGGCATTTAACTGTTAACTTGCAACTTAGAAGATGATAACTTAGCAGATGATAACAATGTGGACAGATCATTAGAAATCTAGCATTTCCGGGAGAAATGAGAGCGACACAAAGAATAAAATGCTTCTAAATCCATGTAAAATAACACAAATGGATAAACACAGCATGCCAAGTCACAGTCTCTCCTGAACAAGGAAAACAACAGGCCAGCATTAGAAGGTGTGGTAGGTAAAGCAGAACTTGAGCATCTTGCGTTCCTCAGATCGAGCTATGCTGGGCTCTTATCACAGGCGATATTCCACACGCAGTACTGAGTTCAGTCTTCAGCGGAGTGCTGACGGGTTTTGAATACAGTAGGTGCTTTGCTCCTGGTTGGGCAGGGACCCGACTGCCAGTTGTAGAAATGAGCAAAGTTGTACACAAAGAATGCACACATACAGTCTGGATTAAAAGATGGGAAGTATTACTCAGGAGGACTGATACTGAGTAGCATGAGGATATCACACAGGTGGCAGCCTTACCAGTCACACATTTTGCACACTTATTTCCAGTCAGCACCACATTATTTAATTGGCACACTGAACTCTATCCTTCTTTGTCCCACCCAGATGGTAGTCATCTTGCATTTCTCTGCTGTCTGATCTTAAACAAGAGCAGCAGGCGAAGGGAGCTGAGATCGTGGACATCCAGCTCTAGGGTAAATCGGCATTAACCAGCCGAGAGAAGGGGGAGGGGTGTTGCAGACAGAGGGAACCTGATGAGGAAAATCCCTGTGGCAGGTGGGGGCCTGTGTGTTTTAGGATCCAAAGAACAGCATGGCCAGAGCCCAGAGCAATGGGGAGAATGATGGGAGAGGAGGTAACCAGAGAACCATTCCTACAAGCTATTTATCAAGCTATTTATCTTACGCTTTTTAGCCTAAGAGGTTGTTTTGATTTCTGGCTGCCATCGTTAAGGATGGGTGGGGTGGAGGGGTGGACGAGAATGGATGCAAGGTGACCAGTGGAAGTAGGCCAGGTGAAAAATGGTGTCTTGGACTCAGGCATTGACCATGGAGGCACACTTACAAGTCATTGGATTCCAGAAAATTGACAACAGCTGGTGATGAATTGGCTCTGCAAAGAGGGCAGTGTTGTGAGTGACAAGGGGAGAAACAAAATGTTCCTTAAACTCACCAGCATACAAACGTGAGCAGGCACTCTTCCAACACTCACATTGTATCATGAATGCATGTTTATTTTTTATTATTTTTTAAAATAAATTTATTTATTTTTGGCTGTGTTGGGTCTTTGTTGCTGCACGCGAGCTTTCTCTAGTTGCAGCGAGTGGAGGCTACTCTTTGTTGTGGTGCGCAGGCTTCTCATTGCGGTGGCTTTTCTTCTTGCAGAGCACAGGCCCTAGACACGCAGGCTTCAGTAGTTGTGGCACGTGGGCTGAGTAGTTGTGGCTTGCAGGCTCTAGAGCGCAGGCTCAGTAGTTGTGGCACACAGGCTTAGCTGCTCTGCGGCATGTGGGATCTTCCCCGACCAGGGCTCAAACCCGTGTCCCCTGCATTGGCAGGCAGATTCTTAACCACTGTGCCACCAGGGGAGGCCACGAGTGCATGTTTATAATAAACTCAAGGTCATTGCCTATTGACCCTTTTGTCTAGTCATGAGCATTTTACTCATGCTTAACGTGTTCTTTGTTCTCTTGACTCAAATGGATTATCTTTTGTGAGAGCTTGTGAATCTGAAAATAGGTTGCACAGTGTGACTGCTGGGAGGTTTCTTGTTATTGCTTTTTAAACTAAGTTGGGGGCTTCCCTCGTGGCGCAGTGATTGAGAGTCTGCCTGCCGATGCAGGGGACACGGGTTCGTGCCCCAGTCCAGGAAGATCCCACATGCCACGGAGCGGCTGGGCCCGTGAGCCATGGCCGCTGGGCCTGCACGTCCGGAGCCTGTGCTCCGCAACGGGAGAGGCCACAGCAGTGGGAGGCCCGCGTACCGCAAAAAAATAAAAATAAAAAAATAAAGTAAGTTGGTAGGGACTTCCCTGGTGGCACAGTGGTTAAGAATCCGCCTGCCAATGCAGGGGACACGGGTTTGAGCCCTGGTCGGGGAAGATCCCACGTGCCGCAGAGCAACTAAGCCTGTGTGCCACAACTGCTGAGCCTGTGTGCCACAACTACTGAAGCCCATGCACCTGGAGCCCTTGCTCCACAACAAGAGAAGCCACCACAGTGAGAAGCCCGTGTACCATGGTGAGGAGTAGCCCCTGCTCGCCACAACTAGAGAAAGCCCATGCGCGGCAACGAAGACCCAACGCAGCCAAAAATAAATTAAATAAATAAATAAATAAATAATAAAGTAAGTCTGTAGAGATTTGAGATTTATTTCTCAGCAAATATTGGGTTGGCCAAAAAGTTCCGTTACGGAAAAACCCAGACAAACTTTTTGGCCAACCCAACGTTATTAGTTACTTATGGTATACTAGTCCACTCTACCAGGCAAGAAAGATGCAAAGATTCAGTGAATGAAGGATGTGAATATTCCCTCTTTATGAAGTAATACATTTCAGCAGTGAAAAAGTTCTAGATGAGGGCTTCCCTGGTGGCGCAGTGCTTGAGAGTCCGCCTGCCGATGCAGGAGACGCGGGTTCGTGCCCCGTTTCGGGAGGATCCCACATGCTGCGGAGCGGCTGGGCCCGTGAGCCATGGCCACTGAGCCTGCGCGTCCGGAGCCTGTGCTCCGCAAATGGGAGAGGCCGCAACAGTGAGAGGCCCGCATAACGCAAGAAAAAAAAAAAAAAGTTCTAGATGATTCTAAGATAATGTGAGTGCCAGTATTGCCTAGAAAATGATTTGGGGAATGGATCATTTGACCGCCCCCGGACATACTTCTAAGCCTAAGGACACTTTTCTTTTAACCTGTGTGTGCTCCCTTTTCCCTTCGATTAGTATGATTGATTACATCCTCATCGCCACCCCCAATCTTTTTCTATTCATTTACGCAAAGTATTTTGAACTAGTTTGATAGAAAGAACAATTTGTGTTCGTTTTCTCTCATTCTCATTCTCAGGACTATTTCAGACTAAATCATCTGAAATAGGAGTCCTGCAATTTCAAAGTGGCTTTCAGGCACAACATTATTTGTTTTATAGCATTTGGGGATTGATTTGCAGGATCTATTGGACTGGGGCAAATGAGATGATTCTGCTACCTCATTTTAATGTCTTCTGAAAGGTGGGAGTTTCGAACTAAGTGGAAGACAAGTGATCAAACAGACTGCTTTGATGTGAGAGGAAGTGAACGTTTTGATGTTGGTCTGTTTAGGAAGAGTCGGACCCATCTCTTCTAGCTCTTGAGTCCCGCCAAGATGATATTTTAAAACGACTGTATGAATTGAAAGCTGCGGTTGATGGTCTCTCCAAGATGATTCAGACACCAGACGCAGACTTGGATGTGAGCAACATAATCCAAGCTGACGAGCCTGCTGCTTTATCGACCAGTGCATTGGACTTAAATTCCGTGCTTGGAAAGGTAAGTGCATCTAGAGAGCTAAATAGAACATCAGCGTGCTAGGTGGATATTAGTACTGGAAAATTGTGCCGGTGGGATTAAAGCCTTGGTTTTTGAGTTTTCAAAGGTGGTGCAAAAGCACATTCCTCCTCTGATTGTGCCTTTGCACAGAACAGATTCATGAGCATTGAGTGAAGCCAGGCAGGCTCTAATGCAGCTTCTGGATTTCTCAGACCCAGTAGAGAACGGGGGTGGGGGGGGATCCTTAGGCAGAAGAGGGAGTCAAGAGTTCCTGCCACTGCAGGCAGCTCCCGGCAGACTCCGAGCCCTGGAGAAATGGTCGTACACTCAGTGCTTCTCTGAGGTTCAGCCAAGTCAACCCTGACTCTTTGAGAGTGGCCTGAATTTCAGAGCCTTGGCTGTCCAGGCGCAAAATTCCCACCGATCCTTTTGCAATTTGTTGCTAAAAGCCAGTCACAGTCTCATACCTCAGACATATTTTGCTTAAATTCAGTTTGCTGTGTTAAAATTCAGTTGCATCAGCCACCTTTAATGTCAGTCTACAGGCTTCAGTTGATTTACAGGACAATCTGATAACGCAAAGAAAGAGTATCTTGTTACAAGTGGGTGCAAGAGGGTTCGTCCCGAGAATCCCTGCTAGCACCCTCCCCTAGAATTGGTGATAGAAAACGGTCCTGCTTAAAGACCTAACAAGCGGAGGCAGCATTGCCATGTCTCCCCCAGAGCTGTTTTTGGTAACGTCCGTCCCTCTGCACTCATGTATCCCTTCATCCCCCAGTTTGTGTTTGCATGTGCTGGGGGCCCATAAGACCCCACTCAGCCAGTCCCCCAGGGAGCCAATCTGCATAGGGGATGAGTCGGTGAGACAGTTGTGCCGGGTGTCCTAGCATGCCGGGGGGCCTCCCAGAGCACACGGTGCTAAAGATGAATCTTGATACCACAGAAGGCACAGCATCAAGTAACACGATATGTTCATAGAAACGCAGAGCATCCAGCATAGGTCCACATGAAGGGCATCGGTCAGGAGCAGCAAGACCAGAGGCCAGGTTGTGGCCGGCTGTGGACAGAAAGCCACAGAGTTTTGCCTCTGTTGTATCATGTGAGTCCATTAGTTATGAAGAGCCGATGTACAGAAATAAGATAGCCCGCATCTAAAGGCAGTGCGTGTTGCAAATCAACTATACTTCAACAAAATAAATTTTAAAAACAAAATAAAATAAAAAGGCAGTGTGTTTTGGCACTTTAATTCACACCTTTTTAAAATCTCCCTGAGCGAAGACCCTTTTCCAAGGGGTTCTTCATTGACACGTAACTCAAACAATTGCTGTAGAAACTATATCCTGTCGGGCATTAGAAAGATTTAGTAAATGGAGTAATTACACGTGTGATTTTTTTTTTTTAACTTAGGGACAAATAGAGGTGTCAATCCTAACATGTTGTACTAATCTGAGTAGAGTCACCTTTTATTTATTGGGAGCAGCATTGCAGGGGTGGAGGGTTGGAGTCGGCTGCTGTCCCCTGCTTCCTACTGAGCCGAGCCCCCTTGGTAGCTTCCTTCCATCCCCAGCACTCACATCCTTGGCTGCAGGTGGGGTGACATTAGTACCTTCTTCCCGGGAGGTGACGATTCTTTAGAGAAGCCTGCTGGGGTTCTAAGCACAGCACCTGGTACAGTGTCAGCACTCGGGTTGCTGTTGGTGTCATCTGCTCTGTTGGGGTTTGCTCCCCAGGATTACGGGGCACTGAAGGACATCGTGATCAATGCCAACCCCGCCTCGCCACCCCTCTCCCTGCTCGTGCTGCACCGACTGCTCTGTGACCACTACAAGGTCCTATCCACTGTTCACACGCACTCAGCGGTCAAGAGTGTGCCGGCAAACCTCCTCAAGTGCTTCGGCGAGCAGACGAGGCAGCAGCCCCGTCACGAGTACCAGCTGGGTTTTACTCTGATTTGGAAGGACGGTAAGCGGAGCGGCTGGGTGACCAGGAGGCAGTGGGGAATGGGAAAGGGGCAGTCTGCAGCTGCGCAGACTCCTCGGCTGCTTACCGTCAAAGTCTAGAGAGCTTCTGGGGGGTCCTGCAAGAGGAGCAGGCACACCTTGGCCCGGAGATGCTCTCCTTCCTCTGGGAAGGTGAAGGTCTCAACTGAGGGCAGTCTCCGAGGGAATCCTGTCTAACCGGCCAGGGCAGGGGAGTCACAGCTGTCACGGTCGTCTTGCCCTCACATTCCAAAACCCATCATTATGGGGACACTGACGTCCTCTTTTAATGGACATTATCCATTAAAGGGTGGCAGGATGTCATTTATCCATTATCTCACTGGTGTGTGCACTTCTCCCATTTAAGTTCCTACAGAGGGAATTGAGTTCATGTCCATCCATCGAGGCCTTACTGCCCTCAGCCACACGTTGAGAGCCAGGGTGAGGGCAGCAGGAGGTCCTGGCCTGGGAGATGGGACTCCTGGTCTCCAGGCCTCATGCCCAGATCCTTAGGCACAGGCGTTGGAACAGATGGTCTGAGGTCCTTTCTAGCTTGAAAACTAGAATACTAGAAATGGTTACTTTATAACTTACAGTTTGCACTGTTTAAAACTGCAGTTTAAACTTTCTTGAATATTACTAACCTTTTGGAGACCGACTAAAACTGCGATTTTCTTGAAAATACACTCTCCCTTGCCACCAGTTCGTGACCAACAGGGACTCCCCTTGCCACGCTCTACAAGCACTCCCTCCGGCGGTGCTGCTCTTGTTGACATTTCATGGAGTGCTTATTTCTTTTCAGTGCCGAAGACTCAGATGAAGTTCAGTGTCCAAACAATGTGTCCCATCGAAGGAGAAGGGAACATTGCACGCTTCCTGTTCTCTCTCTTTGGCCAGAAGCAGGATACTGTGAATTTAACCCTCATAGATAGCTGGGTAGATATAGCTATTTTTCAGCTAAAAGAGGGGAGCAGTAAAGAAAAAGCCGCTGTGTTCCGCTCCATGAACTCTGCTCTCGGGAAGAGCCCCTGGCTCGTTGGGAATGAACTCACGGTGGCAGATGTCGTGCTGTGGTCCGTTCTCCAGCAGACAGGGAGCTGCAGTGGGACAGCGCCAGCCAACGTGCAGAAATGGATGAGGGCCTGTGAAAACCTGGCCCCTTTTCACATGGCCCTCAAGCTCTTTCAGTGAGCCTCAGTCACTGATTTTAAAGGGTTTAAATTTTAAGGATGGTGCTGTTTTGTGCCTATTATTGGTAAAGGGACTTGTACTAAAATCAAAGTCTCTATCTAGGCCAGTGGTTAAATATCAATAAATGCATCATATAATTAACTTGTAGTTTTCATTTTATTTAAAATTCAGCAACACTGTATGCAATATACCATGACAATTGCCAGCTACGTGGCGGGCACACTGGGGTACAAATACGAACGTATCATATCGCTGCCTTCGAGGAATGTAGACTTGGGGGGAAGCAAGTATGTGAGGAAGGAGGGAGCCCGTGGGAACAGCGCAGTGTGGAGGGTAGGAAGGCCAGCAGCTGTCCACCTGGAACGGTGCAGCTAGTGCGTGGGCCTGGGCTTGGGCAGCAATGGGTCCAGAGCACACTTAGGTTTCTGTAGTAGAACCTAGAGGAGGATTTGGTGGTCAACAGGCAGAGTTCAAAAGAGAAAGAACAGCTGAGGATAAGGCCTACACTTTCACTTTCAGAGACTGGATGGACGGTAATATTAAAGTGAGAAGTCCAGGAAAAGGAGCGTGTGGGGTAGGAGAAAGGCAAGAACAGAACAGGTTTTGTTTCGAGCAGTCTTAGGTTCAAAATGCCAGCCTTAAAAGGTACTTTCACAACCTCACTTTAATAAGTCTTATACAGGCTTACTAAATACAATTAGAGTTATACCAGCCATACCCTAATAAAGATTGAAAATTTACATTCCAGTTGACTATTTAGCTTAAAAAGTCCACTCATACCTACAGAGCCTATTGAGCCTACACGGGCACACCCCCATCTTTCAAGTCACCCTCTTAACCCCTTTGTCTTGAGAGAGGAGACTTAGCTGCTTCTTTAGTTCTTCGATTTCTTTTTCTTGCTCAAGTATCTTCATCTGTAGGGTGAGATTAACCTGTAAAGAGAGAAAATTTTAAGCTCTGTTACAACGGCTTCTTCCTTTACTTTTAAATATACAGGCCTGCCTCTCTTTGCACACTTCCAATATGCGTGGATTCCAGTTCTCACAGCTTATTACGCATCACCCAGCAACGTGGGTCAAGTGTCAGTTACCAAGGTATAGTGACTAATTGCCTTAGCGCTTCAGTCCACGAAACACTATGTGACCCACCATACATGTCATAATCAGGAACAATCATCACTTCTTTCAACAGCTCTGGTGGTTGGTCACCGTGCACCTGTTAGTCGGTTCACACACAGGCAGTGTGTGGAGTTGTGCTGCCTCCTGTCTCCCAGTGATAAACCCACGTGACATTTTTGAAAGAGGGAACTGGCCAACAAAAATGAAAGTACAGCAAAGTAATGAAAAGTGAGGATGCTAGAAGTGAATATCAAACGCACGGTGTTACAGACGAAAGAGCTGATCGTGGGAATGCTGATCCCGCCACCATCGGACGCACTGAGTGAAGACCACTTATCAACATGAGCAGGAAAAGGATGAAGATGTCCCCAAGAAAACTTCACATTAAAAGAACTCTTGGAGACGGATCATAACATCAAAAGTGCCGAAGTTAAATGCCAGAAACTGATCCAAACTTAGCGAGGAGTATGACAAGTCACCAGGGCATAGAAAAGATGCTCACTCCATGCCCTAAGTTACAGGACAAGACGGTGGGCACTATTCAAACTACTCTTGAAACACTTTCATTCTCAACTATAGTTTTATAATTTTTTTCATTTCCACATACATCTGTAACTGATAATAAGAGAGTTTTAATGTTCTGACAAACATTTTTAAAGGTCATGGAACGACTGTAACTTTCCCCATTGATTATTAAGCTCCTTTTGTATGCTGTGAGCTCTGCGTGGTCAGTTTCACAGTCCTGCACTACACAAAGTGCAAAGTGAGGGCCACCTGTCTATGCAAATTTATCTCTGCAGGTATGCACAGGTTACTTTATAAACAATTCTACAAGGAGAAATACCATTAACAACAAATAACTACGGTCTCTACTCTAGCTTCACAGGGAGTTAGAAAATTCTCTCCATACAAGGATATCAATTTAACAACCAGATCTGCTATTTTCAGAGACTGAGAGAAAAGCACTACACTACCCGTTTACCGTTCAGTCTACTAAAATTCACTGTTTTACTTGAACACAAATAAGCCTTAAACAAAAGACAAATCAACTAACCAGTTGCAAGTGGTTCCCCAACTCGCGTGCATCAGAACCGCTTCGAGGGTTTGCAGAAGCACAGAGAGCAGCCCCTTCCCCCCAAGATGTCTCTTTTATAGGTCGGTGGGGGAAGTGAGGGGGGTCTAAGAATTCTGTCGAGTTCACGGTGATTTTACGCTGCTGGTCTGGAGACTGCACTCTGGAGCCGGTGCGTCCACCCACTGCTGCTCACATGCTGGGTATAAGTTACTCGGAGATCTCACTACAGTGCAGGTCTGGGGTGGAGCCCCGGAGCCTGTGTTTCTAACAAGCTCCCAGATAAGGCTGATGCCGCTGGTCGGAGGACCCACTTTGAGTAGCAAAGCACTAGAGAACCTGTGAATTTCTCTTTGAGTCAAGCTTTTTTAAGTTTTAGAAAGTTTCTGTGTATACCTGGCACTGAAACGACATGTCAGGAAGGAGGAAGGGGATGGGCTGCCTGGAGCAGGACCCCTCACAGGACAGAAAACCAGACTCCACACGGGGATGCTGAGATCTCAGGGTGGGTAAGGCAGTCTCGGCCACAGATGCTCCAGCTCCCCTGAGAAGCACTGCTGTCCTATATCCTTTGGTGTGTGTGCCGTTCTACTAGTAGATACTTTATAATAATTCATAAAAGGCCATATACCATAGTTGGAAAGGAAAACTAAAACCTTTTGACTTAGCAAGATGAGGCTCGAAACTGGAGCCCACGTGACCATTTTCAGAGTAGACAGTTGGCAGTGTTCATCTAGCTTAGCTGACAAGTACGCCACTGGCAACTCTGAGAATGGGTTAAAATATTTTGTTTCCATAAACCTGATTCTAAGTTCAACTGCTCTTGGTGAAATGGGATTCACAACTGAAACAAACTCCATTTTAAGCTTCACATTTCCTCCAGTATTAAAAAAATCATACATACATTTCCAGAATTTTGGAACAGTTCACTCTGCAGCAGCTGAACAGCAGACGGCCTCTGGGATGAGTTCTTTCTGGTTAAGTGCTGGATGTACTTGGCTTGGACGGGACACCTTTTACTGAGGGACTCGGGGATCTGTCCAGTTCTTAAACCCATTAAAACATGTGCTCGCTCCATTTCTGTCCCAAACGGCTGAAAGAGCTCCAGCAGGATAACACCCAAGCTATACATATCTGACTGAAAAAGGGGGGAAATGGTCAATGAGTAGTGAAATACACAGAGTAACATTTCCATTCCCACCCAACTTCCTTTCAAAAGCGAGAGGATTTTCTACAGAAGGATGATTGACAGTCCCTACAACGGAGGGAACACAGCGGGCTGGCTCGTCCCTCACAGAGGCAGGTGTCTGCCAGCTGGATCTACTGTAGGTGACCTACAGACAGATGACTGTACTCTTGCAATCCCCAGCTCTAACACCAAAAAGGGGCATCCAGGGGCACGAAGGACTGAGGGCCAGGCGAGGGGCAGGGGTGATCCCGGCCACCCAGAGCGGTCACTACCATACAACTGACTCCACTGCTCCTTGAAAACCCAGGCCAGGTATAGCCTGAGAGAGCCATGAGAGGTCACCGAGGATCCCTGCGGCCTACCCCGGTCCCACCTCTGCCTCCGCTCAGAGTTAGGCATTCTTGGTAAAGTTTTAGCAAACTCTGCATAAAACCTGTCACTTTTCCTGAAAACAGTCTTTTAGGAAGGTGTTTAATTACTACATAGGATTTTCAGAGCTGCCATGGTTTTTCTGGCAGCTCTTTCCCAATCACTAAAAAGTTGAATGATTCATCAAAAGGAAGAAAATTTACTAGGCTGTTATTTTGAGAAAAGAATTTACTTTAACATTCCTTCTAAGAACGAGCTGGATTAAAACTTTTCCACATCTTCATTCAACCTCAGAGGGAAGCAAGTGTCACACTTGTCGCGGGCACTGATTTACCTAAGCTTGAAGGCAAAATGAACGGCTGAAAACAGACTGGTGAATCCTGCCTTCCTGAGGGGAAGGTGATATCTTAAAGGGAAAGCTCATTGCAAAAATTATTTTGTGACACCCACGGATTTGGAAATAGTAAGATAGCCTAAAAAAGTCAGATTCAGTTGAAAAGTGAGGCTTCGCACTATGGTAGTTTGATGTAAGAGATACCTACCACACTCCGCTATTTCCAAATCACTTCAACGTCAGACCTTCCACTGCATTTACTGTACTTTTTGTTACTTATGACTGCAGGGTAAGTCCACTGAAAGGGTAGAAGGGAACAAACACTACCTTGGCATCATACTCGGATCCCTCCAACTGTTCAGGGGAAGCATACAGGCAAGTGCCCACTCTGGAGGTATGTGTGGGTGTTCCTGTGATTTGAAAAGCCAGAGATTAAGCATGGCAGGGTTAGCACTGTCTACATAAACACCCCTGACTGAGCAGGGCATTGCAGCTCCCAAGGAAATGATAGTTGCTTTTTTTTTAAATCTCACCTTTGCTGTTAAGTCTTTATGATTCTCTTTAAATACTGACAGTGTTCAACCATGTCTCTCTCTCTCTTTTTTTAATGCAAAACCAAACAAAAACAACCACCAAAATAAACTTACTCTTTCCATTTCCATTGGCCCAGTCTGTGTTCTGTATGATGTCTGCACAGGCCAGGCCAAAGTCTCCTATTTTTACTTGCTGATTGGGGCCATGAAGAAAAATATTTCTGGGCTGTAAACAAACAGAACAGGTCAACTCAACGGTGTTCTAGAATGAATAGTGAAAACATGTGGATGTTGAGAGTTTTCAACTCAGGAGCCAAAAGCCCCTCAAGAATTAAAAATGAGAGCAGTAGTTCTCAAACTTGGCCGCACATTAGCATCACCTGAGGAACTTTAAACAAATCTCAGCGGCCAAGCCACTCCCCAGACGGATTAAATCAGATTTCCTGGAGGTGGACACAGGCATCGACATTACTTAAAGTCCCCAGCTTATTCCACTAATGTAGAGCGTGCTTGTGCACAAGTGCATTTCAGCCCTGACGGAACCTCAGAGTCACCGAGAAGGTTTTAACAACTACTATCCTCTCAACAAGTCAAAAACTTTGATTATTATTTTTTTTAATGAAAACACTGATGTTTTTTAAAGCTCCCAGATTATCTAACATGTTGGCCAGGGTTGGGGACGGCCAAGTCACACTCTAAAGGTACACACTTCACTCTATTGAAGCAATCATCACAGACCCAACACATTTCCCGATGGAAGTACCCCCAGACCAGTGGAAAACGCACCTCTGTTGGAGGCGGGGTGGAATTCCATTAAAAACTAGAAAGCGTTTAACTTAAAAGTTATGTCTTCTTAATGTAAATGTTTTATTTGTATAAATTCCCTTATTTTAGCGTTGTCAGGTTTTTTTAACAGTAGCTGAATGGGAAGAGAAAACAGAAAGAATCTTAGGTGCAAGATGATAATCTGGCTACGCTTTTGTGACTAAGTAAAAAGTCCTGGAAACTGTGCTCCTGTAGCTGGCACTGTAGATACAGGAACAACATGTGAAAAAGTTTGGTTCTGATATAAAAATGCATCATCTTCACGGATACCAGTCTCAACAGTTCTAGAACTGAATGGAAAGAATCATAAAGAGACTGAGACTGACCAATTCTGTTAACGCGTTTGCCCTGAATTCCTGAGTCCCCCCTCGAAGTTGTACTCATGGGAAACACAACCAAGAGAGGCAGCAGGGGGCTGGTGGGTGACGGGGCCCAGGCCCCGGAAGAGGGCGCGGTGGTGTCATTCCACACGGGGCTCTACGAGGCCATCCTGAGGGAGGGCAGCACCACACTCCGGGCTCTGCTTAGAAGCCACCTGTCAACCAGCCCACGGCCGTTCTGGCCACCTCCACCAGCTACAGATCACTGCTGAGCCAGGTACCGGCGTTCTCTTCTCGGTCACTTTGAGAAAAAAAACGTGATGCTTCAGAAGGAACGCCACCTGATTCTTGAGGACTCACTACACCTGGCTGCCTTCACCGTGCCCGAGGCTGGATGGTCCACGCTGAGCACACCGCACACCCAAAGCCATGTTCTGCTGAGTCTGCGACGACTCCTTCCAGGGATCACAGGGGCACTGACTGAGCAGAGACTGGGGCTCGCTTGGTTGGAAGAACATTAATGTCATCCTCTCAAATGTGCCAATGCTGATTATGTCTGTGTGCTGGAATTATTTCTCCCCTTTTTACATATAGTTTTTCATTTTCTGAATTTTTATACAGTAATTATTACCCTTATAACAAATTTTTTTTAGAAAGTCACCCTCTGCCCTTATCTTGCAGTCGTGCTGTAAAGGCCTGTGTGTGTGTGTGTGTGTGTGTGTGTGTGTGTGTGTGTAAAGAATTCTCATAAACAGCTGTGCTAATCATAGACAGAATACAAGCAGCATTAACTGTGAAACCCTAAAAGTGCAGGTTATACTACTGATACTATGACTTTGGCAAAGGCTTAAAAAACAAAACCTACTTGTCAATGACTCTCTGGGTTAATATAAGGACTAAGGGACTTGATAGCAATTACCATTAATTTTACACAATGAGCTCTTCACAAGAATCAACTTTCGAAGCTTTACGTAAATTATATCTGCTGCCTTGGTAAATCTGCATGTATGTAAAATACAGATCTTTATAATATCAATATAAAATTGACAGGTTTGGGGTAATTTAAAACAGGCAAAAGGAGAATTTCAATGCACATAACAGAGAAATACTGAACCAAAGAGATGCTAAATACAATTATTTCCTTTGAAATAGCAAGCTAACACAATTATTCTAACTATATTGGGCTACTTGTAATGTATTTTTCCCCCCAAAGCAGACACAGTCCATCATCCCCATCCACCTGGCTGTGGAATACCGCAAGGCACAGAGTTTGCTTTGTTTGTTAGAACATGGTGCAGACCCAGAAGTAAGGTAAGTTAACTCAACAGGTGACTGTTTCTAAATGAGGACACACACGATCTGTGTTCCTTTCCCGATCATGTCTGGACTCATCCATTCTCCATGGGTGATGGACTACAGGTTACCACGTTTGGAATATACCAATTTCCTTACTGACTAGGTGAGATCCTCTGAAAACCGGAAATAATACAGGAACACAAATCAGTCAGCCCACTTAAAGCATAGTGAGTATTAAGCGCTCAGCAATGGTGTTGTGGAAAATTAAGTCCTGGTCACAGCCCTCAGGGAGTTTAACAACCTAAGTTAGATATGAAAAGAAAATGGAAAGAGGCAAGGGATTTTCTTGGAAAGAAGTTCATCTTGCTTCCCAATATATCTTCACCGCCTAAACCAATGCTGACACTTCCTAAGTGCCCAATAAATATCATCTGAATGAATGGGAGAAGTACATGGTATAAAAGAGTCGAGCCCCAAATCCTTCCCATGCTCCGGAAGGGCGCCCCACCCCGTCTTGCTCTCTCACCCTGCCCCCGAGCCCCACCCCAGCTCTACAGGTCCTCCCAGGACTGGACCATCACGTTCCCCCTCCCCACAGGATTCCTCAGTACACCCTTCCCACCCTTTCTCGCCCTGGGTGGGGCCTGCAGACCTCTCGAGAACTTTGCCCACTGGCCTGTTTACTTAGCTCTTTCGGATTAATGCTTCCACACCTGACTGTAAGCTCTGCAGGGTGGGGACTCTGCTGTTTCCCCACACCTCTGGTGCAGGGCTTACACTAAATCAGCAGGTGAACTGAAAAGTCATCTTCTAATCCCAGTGGAGCAGTCAGATGCTCATAAGAGACCTTCCCTTTTCTCTGCCACAATCAAGGAGTTTTAGAGGCAATCCTGAGAGATTTCAGGAAAGGAGATGAGGGCCGAGTTGTCAAACTCTCACTCCGCCTGCGCTGGGGAGGGACTGACGATAAACTCCAGCTGCAGCTCCTGCCATCCACACACACGAGTGAAAAGGCCAGGTAGAGGAGCAGGTGCGGTGCCACCAGGGACGGAGTTAGCAGGCGTTCTGGCCCTTCACGGCTCACTTCTGTGGGAATTCCAGATCACACTCGAGTCCGCACAATTTTACTGAATGGCTGCTAACTCAGCACAGCCCTGAGGGGCTGTGGACACAGAGCTAACTGAGATGCAGCCTGGAAGAGGCCACCATCCCAGCAGGAGTAACAAAGCTGACACGAGCTGTGATAGGAAGCTGGGCCCCTCCGTGCTGTGATGCATACCACCCTGTCCCCGCAAGACGCTGGGATACCCCAAGAAATTAAACAGCAATGCAGATTCTCAAACACTTCTCTAGAGTCATTACGGGGGATTATCTTAAATAAATGTTGCCTTCTTAAGTAGTAGCTCCCTGCCTCGAGCCATTCCCACTGTGAACTGAGTGTAATCTGCCATCAATACCTATTCCAGAGACACAAGAGGCCTCACCACACTCCACCTGATGCTCCTGCACTGGCCCATCACCTCTACCATGTGGACAAAGCCGGGGAACAGAATCCAAAGGATCCTGACAGACATCGAGAACAACACAGTCCTGTGTCTCCACATTTTGTGCGAACACGGGGCCCAGGTGAATGCGCGAGTGGACAGCAACAACAGGCACTCCCGGCTCCACCTGGCCATCACGTATGGGACCTACCCGGTTCTCTCCATCCTGGCCCAGAACGGTGCCCAGGTCAACGCCATAAATGAGTCCAGCATGACACCCCTGCACATGGCTGCAGATATACTGAATAAGGAGGTGATGGAAACGCTCATTGCCCACGGGGCAAACGTCAACTGCGCCGTCTCCTCCACAGGCAACACGGCTCTGAAGCTGGCGGTGTGCACCGCGTCAAGCAAGGCCGGCCGGCTGCTGGCCGCGGGGCTGAGCTGCATCCACCTGCTGCTCGTTCACGGAGCCCAGGTGAATACGCAGGACCATGAAGGTCAAGCCGCGATCCACGAGGCGTGTTTTGGAGGCAGAGAGGCAATAATCTGTTGCTCGAATTTGAAGCCAATGTTAACGTATTAACAAGAAATGGGGAATATATATGCACCTTCAAGCGCGGTTCCAATATAAGAGACACGGCACTTCTCACCAGGCTGCTTTACCACTCTTATCCTTTGAGACTGACCAATAACCAAGGAATTCTACTTGCAGGAATCATGCTCCCAGAATTCCACCTCCTAAGGGAAACCCTAATAAAGTTATCTCAAAAACCCTTATCCCTAGAGGACAACTGTAAACGAAATGTCAGAAATATTTATGGGGACAAACAAAAACAGCACTTGCAGCGACTTCTCCCAGGGAAGATCTGGAATTCTGTATCTGGTTATCAGATCCAGCTCACCTCCTGAAGTAAGATCTCAAAGTTGCACAGAGCCACAGAACTTCAGTGACTCACATCGCATTTTCTGGCTAGACGTGTACCCAGAAAATACTTAACCCATCACCTAATACATCCCAAATGTACGAACTACTGGTTCTTAAACCTTTTTCAAAAAATAAAATGATTTGCACATTAACTTTTTCTTCCTAAATAGTCTTTTAAATGCATTTTCCATGATTTAATTTTTGCCCCAAAAGTAAGTAAATTAATTTAAAACTCTCAGCCAAAGAAGTAAATACATTTTCTCTCTCTCGCTCTCTTTTTTTCTGGCCATGCCGCACGGCTTGCAGGATCTTAGTTCCCCAACCAGCGACTGAACCCGCACCCCCAGCAGTGAAAGCATGGAGTCCTAACCACTGGACCGCCAGGGAATTCCCTATTGTCTCTCTTTCTTGAGAGTCTTTTATAAAAATTGGAATAGTCATTACAGATTTTTAAAACAGCAGAAAAAAATTTCCCATGCTAAATTTCTTTTAAGAGGGATAATTACAGAAACAGATTTTACCTCTAAGGCAGAAATGAGTATTTTTGTCAGCATGAAATACATTTAGCATCATCAGTTATATTAGTACTCAGAACACACTTACTACCTGAAAACAGCTAGAATTTTCGAATGCCCAAAGATTACTCCTTTTAAATTCAATCTAAAGTTTTCACATTCTAGACCTACGGAACAATGATTTATACAATATAAAGGTAATGATAACCTCCGAGGTAAATAAACTAGGGTACATGATCTCATTTAATTCAATAAACCAATGCCCAAGTCATCCCTGTAAGCAGCTGTCAATGATTTAATCTTCCCCACTTACCTTTAGATCTCTGTGTACAATTCCCATGTTATGTATGTAAAATACACCTTCCACCAATTCTTGAAAAATTTTTGTTGCAACACTGGCCATAACATAAGGACCTTTAAGTTAAAAAAAAAATAGTTTTTCACTTGTTACATAACATCAATAGTTTTTCACTTGTTACATAACATCAAAATGTAATAAGGGGACTTCCCTGGTGGTGCAGTAGTTCACAATCTGCCTGCCAACGCAGGGGACAAGCGTTCGAGCCCTGGTCCAGGAAGATCCCACATGCCGCGGAGCAACTAAGCCCATGCACCACAACTACTGAGCCCACATGCCACAACTATTGAAGCCCCTCCTCCACAACTAGAGAAGCCACTGCAATGAGAAGCCCATGCACCACAACGAAGAGTAGCCCGCGCTCGCCACAACCAGAGAGAAACCCGCGCACAGGAATGAAGACCCAACGCAACGAAAAATAAATAACTTTATATTAAAAAAAAATGTAATGAACATAGTTATAAATACATTAACACCTGACACCACACAACATTCAGATTGTCAACACAGTCAATACTCCACAATGGTTTCAAACCTAGAAATCAGCAAACAAAGAAGCCACTGCAAACTAGCTCCCAAGAGTCGATGGACTTCTGTCACCAGAAAGAGACGAACTCTCACGTCACTCAGAGCCCCTGTATTAACTGCTTTGTAAACAATTCTCAGGCATCGGGTGGCTAAATTAAACTACGTTTCAGTCCCCTTCCCCTGACATCTGGGGTTTGATGCTAATAAATCTGATGTCCTGGCCCGCTGTGGAATAAACACATTATTACAAATAACAGAATAAGAAAAAAGATAAATTATGTTAGCCCAAGGGGTGAGCTTCTATTGCCTGGAAGATCTGGAATGCCACATTTTCCAAAAATGATGGACAAATGAAGTAAAGGGGGGAAAAGGTAAACGAATTAATTAATCTATTAATATCATAACATAATATGGGAATTTAGAGGGTGGAGAGGTTTGGTAAGACTAAATCAGGGACTTCCCTGGTGGCACAGTGGTGAAGAATCCACCTGCCAATGCAGGGGACACAGGTTCGAGCGCCAGTCCAGGAAGACCCCACATACCACAGAGCAACTAAGCCCGTGTGCCACAACTACTGAGCCTGCACCCTAGAGTCCATGAGCCACAACTACCGAAGTCCGAGCACCTAGAGCCCGTGCTCCACAACAAGAGAAGCCACTGCAATGAGAAGCCCGCGCACTGCAACGAAGAGTAACCCCCTGCTGGCCGCAACTAGTGAAAGCCCTCGTGCAGCAACGAAGACCCAATGCAGCCAAAAATAAATAAACAAAATAAATATATTAAATAAATAAATAAACCTATTGTTTACCTTTGAGCACGAGAGCACCACATGCTCCCTTCTCCCTGAATGAGCCGACTTTCTTATAGAGCTCAAACCTATTCCACACCCTCCTTTTACACTGTCTAGCATATAATTTAGGGACCTCAAGTATTTAAGACAGAAAACTGTGTGTGTGTGTGTGTGTGTGTGTGTGTGTGTGTGTGTGTAAAAGCAATGGTCCCAGGGAATTCCCTGGTGGTCCAGTAGTTAGGACTCTGTGCTTTCACTACCGGGGCCCGCGTTCAGTCCCTGGTCGGGGAACTTCAGATCCTGCAAATCTCGTGGCACGGCCAGAAAGTAAATAAAAATTTTAAAAAATAAAACAAAAACAATGGTTCCACTACAAGTACCTCTAGTATGACCCCCTCCGCCCCCACCCCACCCCTGAAGTGACCAACCTGTCTGGGAAGAAATGCAAGAAGGGCTTTCTGACTTTCCCAACTATTCAGAATAACTACCTTGCTTTGGTCTGTCTTTAATTCGGTTTTCCTTTTAACTCACCTAACACATCCAAACGGCAGGCGACTGTTGGAGGATTCAGTAATTATACACAGACTTGCTCCAGTGATCACAGTTTCCACTCAGTGCTACATCCTTTGCAGGCACTGCTTTAATCCTCACAACAACCCCATAAAATGGGGATGATCCACATTATACAGGTGAGGATAGAGACAGAACTGTTAACTGATTTGCCCAAAACCTTCTAGCTGGTGAGCACCAGAGCCATGACTCAAACCCAGGTGTGCCGCTCATGGGAGTGTTGGGAATGATTCACGTAAAAAATGTGATTGATGTAAAGCTGGACACACAGGGCTGGAATGCTACAAAGATAAAACATTTTCTTTTAAAATATTTTTTTAAAAGAAAAATATACAACCTGCTAGAAGTATGATCCATCTCTTGCCTTCACTGTTTTGACGGGTTTATCGTACTGGATGGCGTAGATTAGAGTTCTCACCCCACACTTCGTGAAGGACTCACTTTCCAAACGTAAGCTTCAAGATCAACTGCACACGGGGCTGGAATGAACGATTCTCTTTCCACAAAGATGGGCACATAGCACTATAATGCGCATGCAGCAGGCCAAGGATCCAGTGTTACCGGGCCCTAAAAATACCCCACGCACCACTTACCATGACTGAACTGAACAAAGTCTGGCATGTTCTAATTTCATGGCAAACAGAGGAGCACTGAGGAGCTGCTGGAGAGAGACGTTATGTCTCCGTCTCCATGGGAAGCTAGTCTAAGATTCTGAGTAGGCCAACTGACCTGTGTTTTAGGCCAAATAAAGGGTTATAGTGTCACTAGGAGTGAACAGCAAATGATTAATGATTGATATTTAGTTGAGCCTTTACTTAAAATCAGGTCACTCGCATCCCCTATTTTGATCATCTACCGCAGTGAATTTCAACTTTGGCCGCACGTTAGAATCAACAAGAGAACTTCCACAAAAAAATAACAAAGGCCAAGCCCTATCCAAGACCAATTATATAAACATTACTGGTGTGGTCCCAGACAACACCCTTTTTCTAAAAAGATTTCATTTTTAAAAACAGTCTTAGATTTACAGAAAACCTGAGAAGACAGTTCCCACTTACCCCACACCCAGTTTCCCTGTCACCAACACCTTACATCAGTCTGGTACATGTCACAATGCACTGATCCTGATACAAGTTCACAGGCTATTCAGACGTCCCTAGTTTTTACCTAATGTCCTTTTTCTGTTTCAGGATTCCATCCAGGATACCACATTACACTGAGTTGTCATGCCTCTTGAGGGTCCTCTGGTCTGTGACAGCTTCTCAGACTTTTCCTGTTTATGATGACCTTGACAGTTTTGAGACGTACTGGTCAGGTGTTTTGTAGAATGTCCCTCAGTTGGGATTTGTCTGTTTTTCTCATGATTAGACTGGGGTTATGGGTTTTGGGGAGGAAAAGCACAGAGATACCGTGCCCCTCTCACAGCCTCTTATCAAGGGCACATACTATCAACATGAGTTATCGCTGTTGATGCCGACCTTGATCACTTGCTGAGGGGCTGTTTGTCACATTTCTTCCACTGTAAAGTTACTTTTTTTATTGACAACGTCTTTTTAAAAGTTCCCCAGGTGATTTCTATGTGCAGTGTTAAGTTGAGAACCAGTGTCATAATATTCTACAAATATTAACCTAACAGAGTATTTCTAGAGGCTATTGTATAACTGCAGGGGAGCTGGGGGATATGGATCTTGAGGGAGACAAACTTTCGACCACATGCCCTTCTATAAGGGTTTCTTTAAAGGTTTCTTTTTATAGAAGTATCTCATTTTCAGTCTTTTCTTTTTTTCTTGGCCACACCGCACGGCATGCAGGATCTTAGTTCCCCAACTAGGGATCGAACCCATGCCCCCTGCAGTGGAAGCACAGAGTCTTAACCACTGGACTGCCAGGGAAGTCCCAAAGTATCACATTTTCAGGTTAAAAAAATAAAACAAATATTTAAATTTTCCCTTAAAAATTTTTTAAAAGACCTTTTCTACCTGAAATCATTATACTAAACTCTAGCATAGTACTCTTAAATATCAACAAACTATGTATCTATAACAGAAAATATTAACTTCCAAATACCTACTTATATTTTTAAAATGTGATTTTTTTCCCCCCCAATCTAAAGTACCTGGAGGCAGAAGGCGGCAGGTCTGTCTGTAGTTCCCAGCCCAGCCCTCGAACACCCACGTGGTACTTACATGCGGATTCATCCATGCTCTCCCGGCCCTGCTGGTTCCTCTCTGTGATCCAGTCCCACAGCGAGAGCTCACACAGCTGCATCTGGATGTGCAGCATCAGGTGGTACTGCACCTAGGGGGCGACACACCGCTGGCTCCCATCTGCACCATTTAGCGGACAAATGCTCCCTTGCCTACCCTAGGCCAAGCACCAGGCTACGTGCTGTGGACAGAGACTACAGACACAAGCCTGCCCGAGAAGCCCGAAGTCTAGTGAAGGAGACAGAGGAATAAAGCAATACTTAACACAACGCGTCATGACCCAGGTGGGCAGAGGCAGGCCCGGCTGGGGTAAGGTGGGTATTAAATGTGACAGAGTCCGTGGGCCCGAAACTGTTTGGTCTGCTCTCGAGATAAACAGTTTTGAAAGCTGAAGATAAAGCATCAGGCTGGCTGTATGGTATCCTACTACTCTATGGATACCCCAGAGTGTGCACACACTTTATCTGGCTTCACATAACTAACAATTTGTCCAAGAAAAAAGTAAGCAAAAATTAAGCTCACTGTAGCCCATTCAGGAAATTTTTCCAAATGTATTACAGAGCAATGAAATGATTCTGATGAAGAGTCCCTCAAACTCAACTCCTTTATATTCAGGGAACCTACTCAAAGTTTTTTGTGTTTCTGTATAAAAATACAGAACCTCATATTCCTGGACAGCCAGAATTAATTCTACATGTGAGTGTAGAGATGGTATATACAGTTTTGTGATCCCAAGACGACAGGTTATGCGCAGACCCTGTTAACATTCAAGTTTAAGTAATAACACTCAGTAAGGGAGAGAACACCAGCACATCAGTGCAATCCTAATTACTGTAATTAGGACACTGAAAGCTGACCTGGTGATCCGCCTATTCAGACGGCTATTCTGTGTTCTAACAACATGTTCTAAAGTCACATTCCAAAATACAGAAAATCTTTCTGCATAAATATATTTTGATAGCATGATGCTAACCAACCACAGAAACAGAACATGTGTGATGCTTCCCGCTCCAGGGTGTACCTATGAGATGCCCCAGTCAGGGAGGTCAGAAAAGGACCAGGAGGAGTTTACTAAGAGAAGGAGGGAGGACCAAATACCCGGGCCACGCGTCAGGAGGCAGCGTGAGGGCAGAAGAGCAAGAGCAGAGACAGGGAAGGGGAGCTGAAGAGGGAAGCCGGCTGCGGGGGAGGGCCGGCCACGTCTAATCACCGTCCTCCACGCCGTTATTACAGGGAAACAGCAAATGTGCAGGTTCTGGGAAACTCATCTACCTCCGTCTGCCCCAACAAGTTTAAGTTTTCTTCAGAAGATTCCTCAGTGGATGCGAAAGACTCTTCCAGGTCTGAATTATGCCGAAGTGGCAGCCGATGCCCAACAATCGATCTGGAAGACTCGTCAGCCACACCTTTTTCTTGGGGCTCAAGGGACGGTTCAAATTCACCAGCATCTCTTGTGACTACACTGGCGCTGTAGTTCACCAATCTATTATTCTGATTTTCAATGCCAGATTCTCCCAAGGATTTTTCTTCTCCTGGGGTGAATTCGGCGAAGATAATGGAAGAGCTGTTACTTTCATCACTTTTAACATCACACTGATCTCTGGAGGCCAAAAAAAAACAGTAAAGATAAAAACCAATGTAAAAAAAGATCCAGCGTACCTCAACTGTTCCTTCAAGCCTGTATGAATCTGACTGGTAAACTCCTGACAAAAGAGACAACCAATCTGTCCAGCAGCAGCATTTACTTAAAAATACTGACAGGAAATACCTTAGAGGAGGAAGAAAATAACTTAACATTTTGTAATGAAAATAAGCAAAAAGAAAGTCTAAAACACTCCTGAGCTCCTAGCTGTAAAAGGCAAAGGCGGCCCAAGGCAGGTGACTGGAGGTAACGTCTAGGGCGTGAAAGGACACGGCAGCCCACGTACCTGGGGTCCTCCTTGTCAGAGATCACTTCCAGAGACGGCAACTGAATAGAAATTCTATCTGCTGAACAGAAACAAAAGGAAATCTTCAAGCAGCCCAGTTTTCTAATTTATAGTCAAAGGCAGAGCTAAAATACATAAGTAAGACCAAATGAGACAAGAAGTTAAAAATGTCACGACCTTCTGGCAAAATGCAAATACACCAAGCTTATTCAAATGACTGGCAGATTTTAGAAAAGACAAAAACAGAGCTGTTCAACTATGCGAGGGCTCATCGAACCTTCCGTACAGGACCTGACAGTAAACATTTCAGGTTTTGTGGGCCCGAGGGGACTCTGCTGCCACTACTCAACTCTGCTTTCGTAGCGCTAAAGCAGCCAAAGATAACACACGTGAACAAGCCTGTGTTCCAATAAACTTTACTGACACTGAGATTTGAATTTCATATAATCTTTACAAAATAATTCTTCCTTTGATTTAACTCTTTAAAGAAAAAAATTCTCAGCTTGTGGGGGGCACAACAACAGACGTAGGCCTGATGTCACCCACGGGCTGAAATTTACCAACCCTTCAACCGTTTCATCTAAAACCGCTCACCTTGCCTTTGGGCCATGTGAACATGTTCTATCCAGGCAGTGTGATAGCCTACAATATTAGGATGCTGAAGACCAGCCAGCACCTTAACTTCCCGTAGTACCTGAAGAAGAAACATACTTAGAGCTGGTTTTTACTGACAAATTTGTTAAATGTTCATGGTATTAAATAATACTTGTCCCCTCTGTACGAGGAATCTAGACTGTGTTAAAATAATGCGAATACTTTTGTGAGAGACAAATGCAGTTGTCGTTGTTGTTGTTTTTTGTGGTATGCAGGCCTCTCACTGTTGTGGCCTCTCCCGTTGCGGAGCACAGGCTCCAGACGTGCAGGCTCAGCGGCCATGGCTCACGGGTCCAGCCGCTCCGCGGCATGTGGGATCTTCCCGGACCAGGGCACGAACCCGTGTCCCCTGCATCGGCAGGCGGACTCTCAACCACTGCGCCACCAGGCAAGCCCTGCAGTTGTTATAGCAACTAAATAACTAACATGCATATAGCACTTTACACTTTTCATGGCTCATATATAATCATTCCCTCATTTCATTCCTACAAGTAAGTCCAGACCTCCAAGGTAAATAAAACCATTCTTGTCACCACTATTTTCAAAGGCAGGAGACAGAAGTGGCTTAGAAGACTAGGTCGTTTGCCTGGGACCACACAGCGTGTCAGGGAGAAGACTGGGACCTGAATTGAGCGCCTGTGTTCTTCATAAAAAGCTTGTCATATATTGTATATGAATAGTTTACTTAAAAAATTAATTTCCCCAGCAATGACCCTGAAATGTGGTCAACCTCAAGTGCCTATAAAAAATTTAAGTCAAATAAAAATTTAATCTTGATGTTCATTTTATGGTAACCCACTGCTAGTAAACTGCAATCCATATCACCAAGTATTTCCCCAATACACAAACACACACACACACAAACTCTTTCAAAAGAACCTAAATACTCAATTATTCAAAATAAGTAAATGTTTTAAATCATACCTTCATACAATCTGTTTTGGTTGCACCCTTAATCAGAATTTTTTTAATTGCATAGTACTGACCATCTAATTTATTCCTGACCTAAAAGGAGAGGGAAAGACAAAGCATATTGTACCATTAAATCCAACTGAATAAAGAAAGTTCTTTTAACCTGACCTTAGATAATCCAAACTAGCCAAAGAGATAAAATTAAGCTAAAGACACACGTCCTGGGGAATTCCCTGGCGGTTCAGTGGTTTGGACTCTACACTTTATGCAGCCCCTTTACTATGTTCAGAGGAGTCAGCCGTAGTCAACTGGACTAATAGTTTTTCCAACTGTACTGAGAGTCCAACTCCTAGAATCTCTAGGTCTGAAGAATGGGAGTGTTAGCAAAAAGGCTATGTGCAAGACACAGCAGCACAACTTTTTCAAGTAATACATTTTTTAATAAAAATTAACTACAGAACAAAAACTCAAAGTTTCCAGAATCCACCTAAATCACCAACGTGCTTAGGAAAACATTAAAACCTGCCCACGTCCCTGTAAATGACAAATCTAAATAAAAAGTAAACATACATGATTTCTAGGAATTGTCCTTTGAGCACGTTAAATAATAATAATGAAAACAACTTCTGCAAATACATTGTTTAGAGTAGGGGGTCAAAACAAATATGTGGAAAACCACCTTGTATACTCTTCCATATCCACCTTTTCCTAAGACGGCAAGCTCTTCAAATTCATTCAAGTAACGTGAGGTTTGTGCTTCAAAGCCTACTTCCCTTGATCTGAAAGTTAAACACAATCAATCAATCGATCCCCAAACATGAGAGAACCAAAATGTTCTAAGACAGACCATGTTCACTGTATTACTAGCCTGGCAGACCTCGTTTATCACTAAACTGATAATTTGGAAAGGATGAGCTAAAATCAAAGTTTTCATTCTCTATGAAGAAAACATTTGATAATAAGCTAATCGATAGCATAATAGAGATATCAAGGGGATCATTAATTTTAAGTATTTTACCAGTAATCCGTATTCCAATTAGAAATTATTGTTTTAATAATTATTATTATTTATTATTATTGTTTTAACAGGAATCCTAAGGACGACTAACAGGCAGGAGTTAAGTAGCTAAGCTCAGTGATAAGTTTACTTAAATTTCTTAATGATTCAGAGCAGTTACAGATTTTAAACGAGCATTTCCTACATACAGCCTAAATTCAGTGGTGTTCCCCTGAAAGGGACTGGATGTCAGTGCTCTGAATTAAGTAAGAGTGGGGCTTATGGAATCCACATGGAATTGCAGGGGAAGGGTGGTCAAAGAGAGAATGAGAAATCTTACAAAATTTTTAGCAAATCTTAAAAAGTTTTTAATCTTACAATGTTTTTAATTTTCATAAACTACCCTAACTACGTTATTTTTAATCCCACTACTAATTTCTGATTAATTCAGGATTAATTCTTAATCCCTATTTCTTTTGGATCAGTTTACTCCTTGCATAGTCAAAAAAGTATTCAACACATACCTGATCTTCTGGATATGAGAATTATCCTCACAAGGACCCTAAAATCAAAAAGTTATTTTTAAAAAACATTTTGAAAATTTCTTGGAATAAGGAATCTATCAAAATTCAATGTTAGATTAGTATAAATGCTCAAACTCATATTAAAAAAAACCCACACCCACCCAATGGCTTTTTCAATATTACTTAAGAGTTTGCAATTGAAGACATTTTTCTCTTAACTAAAAGATCACCCATGAAAAAGCTATATTCTTGCCATCCAAGGACAAAGCTGAGATTTACCAAGGAGCGCCACCGGCAAACAACGCCAGCTTCCCCTTCACATAGAAGCAGAAACTGACCACTGCTCCCGTGTCACCGTTCCAAGCCCCCAGCACCTTGTGCCTGTATGACTGCACGTGTCTCCCTGCTTCTGCCCTCAGTCCCCTCCTCTGTGTATTCTCAACACAGCAGCTGTGGAGAACCTGTTAAAGTCAGATTATGTCACTCCCGTGCTCAGAACCCTGCAACACTTCTCATTTTACTGAGTGAAAACCAGAGACATTAAAACGGTCTCCAGATCCATCTCCATCTGCCCCTCGGCCCCGCCTCTCCCCCTTGCTTACTCCACCTCTGCCACTGGCTGCCTGTCAGCCTCACAAACATGCCAGCACACAGCTGCTCCTCTGCCTGGAATGCTTTCCCTCTGCGTGATTCATTCCTCAACCTCAGCTCCTTGCTCCTGTCTCAGCGAGGTCCTACCTGCCACGCTACACGGCCCCTCCCAACATTTTCTAATGCCCTTCACTGCTTTATGTTTCTCCTTAACACTTACCACCACCTAACACTCCATGTATTTTTCTTTTTCTACTGTTTACTGCCTGCTTGTCAGAACATCGGCTCCCTGAGGGCAGGGACTTTTTTTTTTTAATACAGCAGGCTCTTATTAGTTATCTATTTTATACATATTAGTGTATATGTCAATCCCAATCTCCCAATTCATCCCACCACCACCCCCGCCCCAGGGCAGGGACTTTTTTTTTTTAATACAGCAGGCTCTTATTAGTTATCTATTTTATACATATTAGTGTATATGTCAATCCCAATCTCCCAATTCATCCCACCACCACCCCCGCCCCAGGGCAGGGACTTTTATTTTGCTCACTGCCTGAACCCCAGCTCCTACAAGAGAGCCTAATACATAGCAGCCATTCGATAAACATCTGTTGAATAAACAAATGGAAGTTAACATTAAACCTATGTTATAATCAGGATTTCAGAATGCTTTAAAATAGTTCTCTTGAAATGAGAATGTTTTTATCACACTCCAAGTACATTTCCTAGTGCTTACCTGACGAACTCTCTCCTTAGCTGACCTCATTAAGTGCATAATAGCTCTGCTGTGATGTAGCCTCAAGGAGCTAAACTCACCACTACACGCAAAGGATGACAGCAGTCCCATTTTGATAAAGGTCTGACAAAGTACTATAAAAAAAATATGGAAAACAATTATTAGAAAGGCCATCAATGAGATGGCAATTTTCAAGAAAACACAGAAAATAAAGAGTCATAATAATAGCCTCTATAAGAAAAAAGTTATGTTTACACACACATTACAGCTTGGGGACTGATTCTCTGAAGAGATGGAATGATTGGTTACACTCGTTGATCAGGGGCTCATCTGTTATTTCTTACCAGACACTCTACATTCTACAATCATTTGTTTACTGTGCTTGGTCAGTCAGTAAAGTACTAAGCTCTGTTTTTAAAAAAGGCAAGGAAAAAAAAAAAGGAGGGGGAGGGGTCGAATATATAAATAAATAAAAATTTAAAAGGCAGGAGTGGAAACAAATGATTAGAACTGACAACAAAAGTGAATACGAGGGCTCCCCTGGTGGCGCAGTGGTTGAGAGTCCGCCTGCCGATGCAGGGAACACGGGTTCGTGCCCCGGTCCAGGAGGATCCCACATGCCGCGGAGCGGCTGGGCCCGTGAGCCATGGCCGCTGAGCTTGCGCGTCCGGCAACGGGAAAGGCCACGACAGTGAGAGGGCCACATATGGCAAAAAAAAAAAAAAAGTGGGTCCTCCCTGGTGGCGCAGTGGTTGAGAGTCCGCCTGCCGATGCAGGGAACACGGGTTCGTGCCCCGGTCCAGGAGGATCCCACATGCCGCGGAGCGGCTGGGCCCGTGAGCCATGGCCGCTGAGCTTGCGCGTCCGGCAACGGGAAAGGCCACGACAGTGAGAGGCCCACATATGGCAAAAAAAAAAAAAAAAAGTGAATACGAACTGTTGTTTTCAATTATGGAATATCCTTAACCAACACACAAAGAGCACATCTGAGATGTGTGTACAGACCAAATACGGGGGGAAGTCAAGTCTCGAGTCACAAGACGAGGCTGCTCAGAAAAAGAAGTTTCTACAGAAGTGCTTGGTTTTTACTCGTTCAAGGAATACAGGTACCATAGAGAAAATTCTATGTGAAAAACTCTCCATTTAGATTGTCAACTAACTAAACTACATCAAAAACATTTACTTAAATATCCTTTATTTTGAACACCATGACACGAAGGAAGAAAGGAAACCAAAATTCACAGTCAGAAGAGGGAAACAGTAAGTAAAAGGTAATAATGATATTAACACTCTCATTTCTCTTTAAAAAATAATCAACTTTGTATTAAAGTTCAGGCTTTAAAAAGGCTGTATATAAGGAATTTTAAAACCAGCAAGATTCACAGCTTTGCTTTAATCAGGAGCGAGAGTACTATATTAAAAGCATTATAATCTGCTTCTCTATACCAGAAAATAATCCCCGGGTTTGGAACCTACAGAACACCCCCTTTTGTACGACCCACCCCCGCCCCGCAACACATATTCAAGAAAATAAGTGTATGCTGGACAAATAACATTTTTTACCATTTCTTATGTCCCATGAAGCTTATCAAAATGATAATTACCTTTAACTAAAAACATTATGTTCTTCTAAAATCACATAAAAGTATCTGTAAATTTAAGGCTTTCTAACACCAAACAAGACTCGGGAAGACTTCTGGTAGAAAAGACACTTAGAATCTGTGGTGTGGGCTACTCAAGAGTTCAATCTATGAAGCTGAACCAGAAATGCCACAATCTGTAATTCTACTCATTTCTGTGCTTGGTCCTCAGACAAGTAACCTATGGCAGGAATAAACATTTTCAACCACTGTGATTATTTTGATCTTTGTCTCAGGCTACTGACACACAGCTCCACAGTTATAAAACTCTTATAATCTTCTGAGTGATAGGGGTATTAGGAGCATCTTTTGTCTTATTATTTGGTCTCTCACCTCAGTTCCTGACACAAGAGCTTCTCAGAGCCTTGGAGTCTCCAGTGATGAGTCTTTTTGTATGCTAATGAGATGACTGGTGGCTGGAGCCCCTAGGTCACTTCAGGATGGGGGCTGGTCCCCAGAAAGACCAAGCCTTGATTAGAAGCTTAGAACTTTCCACTTCACACCCCCATCTTCCAGGGAGGGGAGAAGGGCTGGAGACTGAGTTAATAATCAAGCATACCAACTTGATGAAGCCTCAATAAAAAATCCCTGAAGTACAGGGTGGGTGAACACATCCACTTGCCAGGAGGGTGGGGAACCCAAACTCTGTGGGGACAGAAGGTAGAGCACTCTGGACCCTCAGGACCTCACCCTGTGTGCCTCTGTATCCTTTATCATATCCTTTATTATAATAAACTGGTAAGCATAAGTAAGTGTCTCGGGCTTCCCTGGTGGCGCAGCGGTTGAGAATCCGCCTGCCAATGCAGGGGACATGGGTTTGAGCCCTGGTCCGGGAAGATCCCACATGTCGCGGAGCAACTAAGCCCGTGCACCACAGCTACTGAACCTACGCTCTAGAGCCCGCAAGCCGCAACTACTGAAGCCTGCGTACCTACAGCCTGCGCTCCACAAGAGAAGCCACCATAATGAGAAGCCCGCACACCGCAATGAAGAGTAGCCCCAGCTCGCCAAAACTAGAGAAAGCCCACGCGCAGCAACGAAGACCCAACACAGCCAAAATAAATACATAAATTTATTTTTTTAAAAAAGTAAGTATCTGCCTGAGTACTGTGAGCTGTCATAGCAAATTATCAAACCTGAGGAGGGGCACTGCGAACCCCCAATTTGGAGCCAAGTCAGACACAAGTGTGGGTAACCTGAGAACCTAGGGACCTCCTACTCTCGACTGGCATCTGAAATGAGGACAGCCTTGTAGGACTGAGCCCTTAACCTGCCAGATCTGACACCAACTCCAGCAAGACAGTGTCGGAAGTGAATTGTAAGACACCCAGCTGGTGTCAGAAGAACTGGTCTGGGTGGGAGGAAAGCCCCACACATTTGGTGTCGGAAGTATTCAATGTGTAGAGGAAAACAGTTTCCTTCAACGACACAAAACACAACCGTTCAGGGCTCTGGGCAAAAACAAGCTCCGAATCAACACCTGGGATTTTCATGTACCTGTTCACCAACTAAACCGTAACAGATCTTCGAAAACTGCATGAATTATCACTTATAAATCAAAAAGAACTACCTTTTAAATACACACAATTTTGTGGTGATTAATCTTTTGCAGGGTCCCCAGGGATGATATTCATAAGGAATTACCCAAAGGAAAACATAAAATAAATTTACAAGATGTACTACTAAGGCTTATTTCAAATTTTTATATACCAGCTGTTCCTCTGACAGCATTAAACAACAGAGTAATTTTACAAGTTTTATTTAGCAAGGTTAATTTATTCTTACTAACATTTAAACACCTGTCTTGAATGAAGCAGGTTTGGTTCGTGCACATGGCTCAAGTGTTCCAGCAGAGAAACCAGCAACAGCTGGTTTGCAACTGCAAAAGGGAAGGTCGGCTGCTGTAGGGGTCCTTTCAGCACCTGGAGTTCTGCGGGAACATCAGATTCTGTAAATTAAAAAAGGATAAAAATTTTAAGAAATGGTAAACATATCTCGTAATGACAAAACAGCATATTCTAATTAGGAAAACACACTATTTAAATTTAAGAAAATAAAAAGCAAAACAGTAGTTAAGGTGAGTGGGGTTAATCAAGACAGACATTCTGGAATTGAGTTTTGAGTTGAATTCTGGAAGGACTAGGAGAGAGATGCCAGTTCGGGAAGGGAGGAAGTGCTGTTAGGGATGATGTGTACAAAGGTAGAAACAAATAAATATTCCAGCAAACAAGTAAGCAAGCAGGAACAGGATGGCTTCCTTCCTTCGAGAAGCAGAGAGAAAGAAGTTTGGCAGCAAAGAAAGGGAAAGGGAGGAAGAACGGAATCTTTACTCTGAGCTACACACTATGGACCAGGTGTTTTATATGCACAATCTCATCGAATCCTCCCGAAACGCCCTATGTTACCACTCCCATTTTACAGATGCAGACACTGATCTCATTGAGAGGTTAAGGAACAAGTTAGCAGGCAGATCAGACTCACTCCCAAGCCTATCCTCTTTCCATTGAACAAGACCAAGCGGACAGCTGAGTTGGCACTTAAAGCTGACAGTCGTTAAGTTCTCACGCACTGTTTAATACGTTATTTAACAGGCCAAAAACACAATGCAGGAAACATGTTTGAGGAAACTGTTCTGGACACGTGTTAGGTAGCCTGGAAGGAGACATGCAAGAGTCAACAAGAAGGGGCTTCCCTGGTGGCACAGTGGTTAAGAATCAGCCTGCCAATGCAGGGGACACGGGTTCGATCCCTGGTCCGGGAAGATCCCACATGCCGCGGAGCAACTAAGTCCGTGCGCCACAACTACTGAGCCTGCGCTCTGGAGCCCGTGAGCCACAACTACTGAGCCCACGTGCCACAACTACTGAGCCTGCGCTCTAGAGCCCGCGCACCTAGAGCCCGTGCTCTGCAACAAGGGAAGCCACAGCAATGAGAAGCCCGCGCATGGCAACGAAGAGTAGCCCCTGCTCACTGTAACTAGAGAAAGCCCGCGTGCAGCAATGAAGACCCAACACAGCCAAAAATGAACTTAAAAAATAAAATAAAATAAATACATTTAAAAAAAGAGTCAGCAAGAAGTCAGAGTGAGCCTATTAAGCAGGTAAGTGACAGAAACGTGGAGGAAAGGACAGGTCCCAGAGATACCAAGAAAGAAATGGACGGGTCAGGATTTAAAACAAAAGGAATGAGAGGAAGGAGAGGTTAACAAGAGTGAAAACTGGTAAGAGGGGCTGTTGGAGGAAAGATGAGTTCAAACTCGGGAGCCGCTGACCCAGCTGGAAATGCCCTGTGGAGACAAGGCCCAGGTATCCTACACCTTCTCAAATCAGCCCCAGTACAAACACTTTATTCCACGCTTCTCTATCAACTACTAAAGGTCCTGGAAGAGAGGTTTTGAAATTAAGACTTCATTCACCAATTCACCTCTCCGACCTGTAGGTGGCCCAAAAAAGACCTGCATGAATGGAGATGTGCTATTCATTTTAAATGAATACTTATTGCCTGAATATGAGAAAGAAAAAGAATGGAAAACGTGGCCATGTAAAAACTTCTCTATGTAAAGACATCTTAAAGTTAAAATATGAATCACATAATCAGATACAGTACAGATACCGTTACTGTACATGACAAGAAAAAGGGAATAAAATTTATATAGCACTCTTACAAGCTAGTAAGAAAATGAAGCACAATTAAAATTCAAATAGGCTTAAATAAACTAGTGGGTAATGACATACATAGTAAAATAACCACAGTACAAGAGTTTGCCATCAGACTGGTAACTATTTAAAGCCTGGAATCCTTGGTATTGTTAAGGGCACGGAAAACTAGATACTTTCAAACACAAGGGGGTGTTTGCAACCTCTGACAATACACTGTAGAATTTCACGTGTTCAAAACTTTACTTCTGGAAACGTACACCAAGGAAATAATTAAAGCACAACAAATATATATGTACAAGGTGTTCAGGATAACAAAGTATTAAAAATTTGTTAAACAAGTTATACACATATAATAGAATACTATGTAGCTGTTATAAATGATGGTGTATAGAAAGATAATCATTAAATAATCCTGTATCAAGTCAAAGAAGCAGGCCATAAACAGTAACACTAATGAAGGTGAGGGAGATAGTTTCATACAAATCAACGCAACTTTTCTGGTTATCATTTTAGCAAAACATACCAAAACTTTTTTTAATATTTTTATTTGACCCAACAAATCCTACTTCTGTGGGTCTATTCTAAAGAAATAATCAGATATTAACAAAGATTTATGTATACACATGTGAAACCCATCATTATTTCTAGTGGTAAAAAAAAAGAAATCTGTTTTCCACCAATACAGCGAAGACTAAATAACTGATAGTACAGAATGCGATGGTCTTAAAATAACGTTCTTAAAGACTAATTTGTCACAAGAAAATGCTAATAAAAGTTCACATTTAAAAAGCAACATAAGGTAATTCCCTGGTGGTCCAGTGGTTAGGACTCTGAGCTTTCACTACCGGGGCCTGGGTTCAACCCCTGGTCGGGGAACTAAGATCCCACAAGCCGCAAGGCATGGCCAAAAAATAAAAATAAAAAATAAAAAGCAACACAAAATTTTTACGATCACGATTTTAAAATATATTTATTCTATGTCTATATAAATGTACACACACACAAAAAGAATGGAAACATCAAAACAGACAGAAATCTCTGCCCCCTGTGTTTTCAATGAAGGAGGCTACAAAAAGAGTGAAATTACAGTGAGCAGCTGTTTTATAGTCTGCCTGTTTGATCCTTCATATCTAGGCATCTAGCTGGCATACAGCAACTCTCAGGAAATATTTGTGAATGAATACACCAAATTATTAGCAGTGAGTTCTCCTCAGAGATGTGGATATATACACTTTCCCTTCTTCTTCCTTTATGGCTTTAAATTTTGCACATGACTTCTCTAAATTTTTATCTTATCTGGACGACGAAATCAGACAGAAATCTTGAATCCATTCAGAATACCTTTCTTTGACAAACAGTTTTAAGTGCAAAATTCACCCAAAAAATTGTCTCTAGCTACGCCAAAATGTAATGTTTGTATATTTAAATGACAAACAGTAATCTCTGGGCGATGAGATTATGGTTCTTCTAATTTTCTTCTTCATGCTTTTCCACATTTTTAACATATTCCGTAATGTGAAAAAAAATTTTAAGTACTGAATTGTCAACAGTGGTGAGATTTTTTTAGGAGGGTTTTCTGCTTCTACACTTTCCTTTATTTTTTTTTTTTGCGGTACGCGGGCCTCTCACCGTTGTGGCCTCTCCTGTTGCGGAGCACAGGCTCCGGACGCGCAGGCTCAGCGGCCATGGCTCACGGGCCCAGCCGCTCCGCGGCACGTGGGATCTTCCCGGACTGGGGTACGAACCCGTGTCCCCGGCATCGGCAGGCGGACTCTCAACCACTGCGCCACCAGGGAAGCCCTATACTTTCCTATTTTTATACTCTCCTATTTTCTACGATGAGAAAATTCTACTTTTTAATAAAAAACAGAAAGAATGGTTGCTCAGTGGAGTCAACTGAACCTAATAAATCAAGAAAATGACAACTTTAAAAAGACCAATGGACAGACACCCAAATGCAGGAAGGAGTAAAACTGAAAGGAAATGAAGGCTGAGGCTGAAAGCTTCCCATTTCACAGTTCTGGTCAGGAGAAAAGGAAGAGGTTAAGTGGCTAAAAGGAAAGGTGAGGTCAAGTTCTCTTATTAAAGAGTAGGAAATGGTATCTAAACCCGATGTGCATTAGAGTTCTAGAATTCTGCCAAGAAGGAGGGGAGTAAAACAAACAGGAAAGGGATGACCTGATTCAACCTCCTGAGGAAAGTATGATCCAAATGGTCCATTATTAAATTAAAGAACCTGGAGAATTAATCTGAGGTAAAAATATTTGTGTCAGATGAAAGAAGGAAAATGAATGAGTCTGACAATGGGCTTACTGTCGGCCCTCCTTCTAACGCTGTGCTGTTCCACAGGAAAAAAAAAACATGCAGAAACTCTGATCAAAAGCTGATATTGGCTCCAGGAGACTCCCTGCAGGATGAGTTGCTAAAGAACACAGGTGTTACTTACATCTAGGTTGCAACTTTTCTGACACTACCACTGGCGGGCAGAGTGACCTCCTCACATCAATACAGACAACAGTCGAGAAATCGTCTACCTACTGTTTGAAGTCTAGAAATGAAACTACATTTCTCACAGACCTAACTTTTCATATAAAAAGATAAAGTATGTCTGGACATTCTCGGCTTCTTTGGAAGAAAAGGCAATACGTAAATGCGGCAGTATTATTAGTAACCAAAGGAGGAGGAAATTTTTAGAAGCTTATCGACGATCACTCCCTTCAAGAATAATCTTCGGTTTGCAGAAAACCTTATCACAATGTTACAGAACAGACAGACTTGCCTGTTTACCGCTGGGACTTCTATGACATAATGCTTTATGCATCACTGAGCTGCTATAATATGACACGTGGAAAAAATCAGTTTGCCCATTAAAAAGTAGTTAGCTTACAACTGTCCTGTGCTAAGGGCCTACTTAAATCGCCCTCACAGTCTGTTTTTGTTTCTCTTTAAGATCAAGAATTGTAGGTAGTAGTAAGGATGAAAATCAAAAAATGTAAGGAATAAATTAAGACCTTTTCAACTCGGCTTGCACCTTTAAATCCCTACAACATGTTAACATTTGTTTCATGCTTCAACTTAACGCGTATTCTCTGTAATCATTCTATTCGAACTACCACATAGTAAAAACCTCCTTGAATCAATGTATTCATTTTTTATGGCACAATTTTATTTTAAAAATGGCCATACAGGGACTTCCCTGGTGGTCCAGTGGTAAAGAATCCACCTTACAATGCAAGGGACGTGGGTTCGATCCTTGGACAGGGAACTAAGATCCCACGTGCTGCAGGGTAACTAAGCCCGCGCACCTCAACTAGAGCCCACTGAACCCTGGAGCCTGCGTGCTACAACTGGAGAGGAAAAACCCACACGCCACAACTAGAGAGAAGCCCACGTGCCGCAACAAAAAGATCCCATATGCTGCAACTAAGACCCGACGCACTCCAAAAATTAATTAATTAATTAATTAAAAGTCCATACACACTACTATATATAAAATAGGTAAACAACAAGGACCTACTGTATAGCCCAGGGAACTATGCTCAATATCTTGCAATAACCTGTAATAGAAAAGAAACTGAAAAAGAATACATATGCATATGTATAACTGAGCCACTTTGCTATACACCTGAAACTAACACAATATTGTAAATTAACTATAATTCAATTTTTTTTTAAGTGTTCATCCACTAAGCAAAAAAAAAAAAAGAACACATTCTGAGAACTTGGGATATTTGTTGCTACTGGGTTACAGAATATCGATACCTATACTACCACCATCAATATATTTACTTTTTAAATACATGCTTTCCCCACTCCCCTATTTTTAGTTTTCCAATATCTAAACTGAGCAGACATTACATACCAGACTCTCTCGATTTTGGCCCCTATTTAATCTTAGCTCTGTTCATAATTATATGCTGTAATGCTCATTCCCAGTCCTTATGTTGATGTCTGCAAGGGCTTAGCCAACTACAAATGTTACAGGGTAGACTGTCCACATGAAACCTCCCTCCCTTCTGAAACCAAGTGCAAGTCTGGAAAAGTTCTCCAAATCACGCTCATGTTCAATTTAAAAAAAAAATGTTTTTTTGCCAAAACAACTGGTTTCAACTAAAGAGCCGACTGCACTTTCATTAAAACATTAGATACTCTGAACTGGTTAGACTCAATGCTGTAAGTACCTCTCGCTTTATGAATAACTTGACTGACTTTGCCGACTTAGCCCTATCTCCTAGAAACCAAAAGCCTGAAGAAAACTCGGGCGTTTTTTTTTAACCGAAGAGGATGATGTCCATACTGCCTCACTATGAGAAGTCTTTAGCTACGCGATTAGTGAAGCAAAAGACAAGAGAAGCTACAAATTAAAACTCTTAACCCAAACTGTTCAGCGCATAGGGTCTGCAGAGTTCCATTCCAGTAGTTTACAAAGTTCAAGCTCATCGCCCGACAACACCCCGGGGCTCAGGTGCTGGAAAACAGTCCAGCACGTCCGCAGCCCCGAGTCCACAGAGGAAATACAGAAATGTAAACGATCAACCGAGCTGCAGACACCCGTTTCAACACGAGTTCACCTAACCCAGATGGCCCGCCCGCCGCCCCCCTACGGCACCGCTGGGTCCCGGTTCAAGCCCGGATCCAGACGAACTTGTCCAGGTCCTGGGCCGAACCTCGCAGCTACCTGCCCGCCCCGGGAATGAAGGTGGACGGGGGGCGGGGAGGGCCGCCGCCTCCGCCGCATTCCGGGTCCCTCACCATCATACTTGGGGTCCGAGCCCTCGGCCGGGAAGTCGATGGCAGGCGGCGCAGGCACAGCCCCTGCCGCGTCGCCCTCCGCCTCGCGCTCTCGGGCCCCCAAGGTACCCCCCAGCATCGCCCGCCGCCCGCGGGCTGCAAGCTAGCCCTCCCGCCACCCAAGCGCCGCCTCCCTATTTACTCCCAGCTGCCGCCACCGGATCCGGAAGTAGCCCCTCGGAAGGCGGAAGACCTGCCCGCCCCCGGGGCGCTTGAGGGGGCGGGCCCTGCCGCACGCCCGCCGCCCGCCCCTTCCCCTTCGAGGAGGTGGTTGGTCCCGTGCCGGCGCACCCCAGGTGCTGGCGCTTGGTGCGCTGCTCTGCGGGCGGCGGCTGGCGCGGCGTTGCGGAAGGAATTGGGTGGCCCCCCACGTGGGGTCGACCCCGGCCTTTGCTTCCTGCGGTTCAGTCCCACTATCCTCGAGACCTGAACACCCGACGAGTGTGTTCTTGGCTCTCACTTCTCAAGCAAAGACTCAGGTGCTAGTGTAAGAATCAGATGTCTGCAGGGACGCAGATCCAAATGTTTACTTTTTGCGGATACAGCGGTGACTGTTCATTTGTCATTTATTTTTTTAAAAAAAAATCAAAAGCATCTTCAAGACTCGTCTCAAGGAGAACTGAACATATTTTGGTGAACCGTTAGGCCACAGCAAAACGGGAAATGCCAAATAGATTCCAGAGTGAATCAGCCTAATAAAAATTCCGCTGGTTTTGAGACGACTTTCACAAACCAGAGACAGGCTTTTCCAAGTGATCCCATGGCCACACTGGACCAACGATGGTTTGAAGCCATTGGCTGCAAAAATCCTCTTTGCCCTCTGGCGATGTCTCTGAAGACTTGGTCGCTGACACAATGCTGTTGGAAGTTGATTCTTAGATCGCAGATCAGATAACATAGCTGGAATAAAAGCGTTTGGGGGAGTTCCCTGGCGGTCCAGTGGTTAGGACTTGGCGCTTTCACTGCCCTGGCCTAAATTCCATCCCTAGTTGGGAAACTAAGATCCCACAAGCAACGTGGCTCGGCCAAAAAAAAAAGAAAAGCCTTTCAGATTTGGGTCCTCAACCCCAGTGCGATGTACAAAAATGGTATTGTTTAAGAATTTTATTTGAACTTCCCTGGTGGCACAGTGGTTGAGAGTCTGCCTACCAATGCAGGGGACACGGGTTCGAGCCCTGGTCTGGGAGGATCCCACATGCTGCGGAGTATCTAAACCTGTGTGCCACAACTACTGAGCCTGCACTCTAGAGCCCACAAGCCACAACTACTGAGCCTGCACTCTAGAGCCCACAAGCCACAACTACTGAAGCCCGTGCACCTAGAGCCCATGCTCCGCAACAAGAGAGGCCACTGCAATGAAAAGCCCGTGCACCACAGCGAGGAGTGACCCCCGCTCGCCGCAACTAGAGAAAGCCCGCGCGCAGCAACGAAGACCCAACACACCCAAAAATAAATGAATAAATATTTTTTTAAAAAGAATTTTATTTGATGAGACTCCCCTGGTGGTGCAGTGGTTAAGAATCCGCCTGCCAATGCAGGGGACATGGGTTCGAGCCCTGGTCTGGGAAGATCCCACATGCCACAGAACAACAAAACCTGTGTGCCACAACTACTGAGCCCAAGTGCCACAACTGCTGAAGCCGGCGTGCCTAGAGGCTGTGCTCCGCAACAGGAGAAGCCACCACAATGAGAAGCCTGCGCACCGCAACGAAGACCCAACACAGCCAAAAATTAATTAATTTTTTAAAAAGAACGAGCAAAAACATTTAGCTTAAAAAGTTATTAATTGCAACACTAATTATAATACCCAAAACAGGCAATATAACTGGTTAAATAAATTACAGATATCAATACAATGGCACACTTTGCAACCATTAAAAATAGTGGTATGGGGCTTCCCTGGTGGCTCAGTGGTTGAGAGTCCGCCTGCTGATGCAGGGGACACGGGTTCGTGCCCCGGTCTGGGAGGATCCCACATGCTGCGGAATGGCTGGGCCCATGAGCCATGGCCGCTGAGCCTGCATGTCCGGAGCCTGTGCTCCGCAACGGGATAGGCCACAACAGTGAGAGGCTGGCGTACCGCAAAAAAAAAAAAAAAGATTTAAAAATATTGGTATGCATTATCTGGTTCTCACCACTTTTCCACCACCACCAGAATGGAGGAAAAAAAGAAACAAACAAACTCATTCTGGTCAGAATAGAATGAAAGAAATCTTTCTAGAAGATGACCTGCAATTTATAGTTAAAAGCTTTAAATAAGCATACCCTTCCACCTATATATATAGGCGTATATCCAAAGGAAATAGAGTGGTGAAAAAAGATAAATACAAGAATGTCCATCAAAGTGTAATTTATAATTTAAAAAGCACTGAAATAATCCAAATTCCAAATAGAAGAGCAGTTAGGGTACATCCCTGCAATGAAACCACATGCAGGCAAAAATTGGAAGAAAAAAAAAAAGAAGCATGTTCCTCTCTTGGCTTCCATAATATCACACAATTTTAGTTTTTCTCTATTTTATTTTACTGGCCCTTCATCTCAATATCCCCTTCTGGATCCTCCTTCTCCAAATGTGTAATTCTGTAGGGCTCTTGTCATGTCACTCCAAATTCTGTCAAGAGATAACCACGTGCACCGCTATCACTTTACATACCATCTATAACCTGACAACTCCCAAATGTATCTCTGCAACACAGACTTGTTCTCTTGGATGGCTTAAAAGCATCTCAAATTTGTCTGAACGTGAACTCTTGCTATTCCTCCTAAAACTTGTTTTCTACTACCCTTCTCCATCCATTTAAATTAGCACACAATCCACCCACTTGTCCAAGCCTGAAAGCTGAGAGTCAACTTTTATTCCATATCCAGAATACATCTAGGCTGCCTACAAATTAATAAAAAAATAAATAGGGCTTCCCTGGTGGCGCAGTGGTTGAGAGTCCGCCTGCCAATGCAGGGGACATGGGTTCATGCCCCGGCCTGGGAGGATCCCACATGCCGCGGAGCGGCTGGGCCCGTGAGCCATGGCTGCTGAGCCTGTGCGTCCGGACCCTGTGCTCCGCAACGGGAGAGGCCACGACAGTGAGAGGCCCGCGTACCGCAAAAAAAAATTAAATAAATTAATTAATTAATAATAAATAGAAACATGATACATATAAAGATGTAATATTAAACATACAGGTAACCGAAAAGGAACCCCTAATGGCCAATAAACATAGGAAAAGATGCAAACATTTCACTAGTTACAGGTAAGTGTAAGTTAAACAATGAAATATCATTTCAAACTATCATTTGCAAAAATTGGAGTTTTTGATACCGAGAGTTGGTGAGGATATGGAGAAAAGGAACCATCATACATTGCTAAAGAGCTATTTAGGGATATTGAGTGAAGCTGAAATGGTGCATACCCAATATCCAGTAATTAATTCCCCTCTTGGGGACTTCTCTGGTGGTCCAGTGGCTAAGACTCCACGCTCCCAATGCAGGGGGCCTGGGTTCGATCCCTGGTTGGGGAACTAGATCCCACGTGCCACAACTAAGACCCAGCACAGCCAAATAAATAATAAATAAATTTTAAAATATATTCTAAAGATAATAATTCCCCTCTTGGTTCCCTTTAGACACCCCTATCTGTGCCTAAGGATATGTGTATAAAGATACTTATTGCAACATTGTTTGTGACAACAAATACAAAAATAGCCTAATATCCATCAGTAGGGAAATAAACATATATGCAAACATATATTATAGAAAAGTTATTGTCTTATCATGGACATTTAACACAACACAGTGGGGAATTCCTTGGCGGTCCAGTGGTTAGGACCCTGTGATTTCACTGCCAAGGGCATGGGTTCAATCCCTGGTCAGGGAACTAAGATCCTGCAAGTCATGCAGTGTGGCCAGAAATAAATAAATAAATTAATTAATTAATTAAACCACAGTGAAAGTTGCAGAAGCCTTATTTTATATATATAATAATGTTTACTGAGAACTGTGTCAGCCTCACTCACACAGCTCTATGTGCTTTTACAAATATTAACTCATATATATATATATATATATATATATACAAATACTCATATATATACAAATATTAACTCATATATATCATATATGTGTAACTGAATCACTTTGCTGTACAGCAGAAATTAACACAACATTGTAAATCAAGTATACTTTGATAAAATAAAACAAAATTTTAAAGGTCATTTCACTATTCTGTCAAGCCGGCTGCTTCAGGAAGGTAGGGGACATGGTAAGACCAGAGAGAGAATTTCATGAGCATAGATCCATTGCTGCACTTCACTTGCTGGAAAGTGAGTTCCTTGATCAGAAGCTGTGTAGAATACCATTTCAGTGGATAAAGCATTCTGTAAGTCCAGATGGTAGTTTTGGCAGAATAATTGCATGCAGGGAAGGCAAATCTCTACCCAGAGTAAGTGTCTAGTCCAGTAAGAACAAAATACTGCCCCTTCCATGATGGAAGTGGTCTAATATAATCAACCTGCCACCAGGTAGCTGGCTGATTACCCCGAGGGAATGGTGCCATATTGGGGGTTCGGTGTTGGTCCCGGCTGATGGCTGATTGGGCCCTCAGCAGTGGCTGTAGTCTTGGTGAGTGGATGTCCATGTTGCTGAGCCCACCCATAACCTCCATTCCTGCCACCATGGTCACTTTGCCCATTGGGTGATTATAAGGGCAACTGGGGGAGAAGGCTGACTGGTATCCACAGAATGGTTCATCTTATTGACTTGATTATTAAAATCCTTTGCTAAGGGACTTCCCTGGAGGTCCAGTGGTTAGGACACCACTCTTCCACTACAGGGGGTGAGGGTTCGATCCCTGGTCAGAGAACTAAGATCCCACATGCCACACAGTGCGGCCTTATTTAAAAAAAAAAAAATCCTTTGGTGAGTATTCACTTGGGATGAAAATATCTTCACCTTTTTCACCCATCCAGGGACATGTATCCACATATCTCTTCCCCAGACTTTCCTGTCATCAATTATAGACTTGCATTCCTTCCAAGTCCCTGACCGTACAACCAAACCATTGGCCACATCCCATGAATCGGTATATAATCACATCTGGCC